GCTCCTGCCGTCACCCCGGGGGCGTCCCTGCCCGGAGCCCAGCCTCGCCCGGGACCGCCGGCTGAAAGCCCGGGCACTGTTACTTTCCTGCCATTTTTAGCCGGGACAACTCCACGCTCTCCGTTCCCCCCGCTCTCTCGCTTTCCTCTCTCTCCAAAACCTCTATAAAAGTTCCGGCCCCGCCGCCGAGCCCGTCCCCTCGCTCCGCTGCCCCCGGCATCCGGCGGGACCCCGGCGGGCACCGGAGCGGAGGAAGCTGAGCCGCCGGCTCCGCAGCCATTTCCCGTCTCACGGAGCTGCCCCGAAACCCGTTTATCTGCGTCCCTGGCAAAAGCGGAGGTGGCCGTTGGGTGCTGCAGGTGCTTCTCTTTAAGAAGCAGCCGAGGAGCTGGTTAAGCGGCGGACAGGCGCTTCCTAACGTTGAGGGAAAGTAAATCTGAACAGGCAGCAGCCCTCAGAGAGCAAATTACTCACTTTCCAGCCTGAACACCTCTTATAAAAAGTATATGCTGACATACACTCAAGTTTCTGCCTCCCCCTTGCACACGCAGCTTGTCAGTTGGCTCTTAGGCGCGGGGTTGTTATTTTGGTGAGTAGGTTTTGGGTGTTAAGCAGAGGCTTCCAGGCAGGCTTGAAATGGAGGAGCCCAGTTGTGCAACACGTTCTCATCTGCCGCTGATCGCCTGCTCCAGAGCTGCTGCCCTACTTGTGTGAATTAAAACTTGAGAAATAAATCAAGCCGAGGGAATTTCCAGCTTGTAGGCTTCTATTAATGAAGATGAGGAAATAACTTCCTACTGCAGCCTTAAAAACGCCAAAAAGCCTGGCGCTGAAAGCTGAGATGGCGCAGCCGAGGCTGGTCCGGGCGTGAATCGATGGTAACTCGACTCGGAGGCGTTTCAGGCCGAGCGGGCGCTCGATCGCTTGCCCTGACCTTCCATGCGGCAGGTTGCAAAATCTAGTTGAGAGCCGCTCGCCGCTGGGGGTAAAGGAGATAACATATGCTTGCTTTTTTCTCCTGCTGCTGAGCGTAAAGCTGTGGTGGTGGCAGGTGTTGCGAGCGCACGGTGATGGACGCAGTGTTTGTCACCACGGGACCTGGCACCGGCGAGCCAGCGCAGGAGTTGGCTGGGTCGGCAGGGCCGGTGGCAAGTGCTGTGCCTCGCGTCTGGCCACGAGCTGCGTCTGGCTGGCAGCATGCTGGCTGTGGGAGGGGAGCGCGGGCATGGGCCAGAGGGTCTGCCCTTTGTTTTGCAATTCCCAGGCTGGGGAAGGCAGCCCCTCCCCTCCTGGTGGCCATCCCTGCCATACCAGAGGATTCCTCCGCTCTGTTATGCCCTGGCTTAATGAAGAACTTCATTAGTTGGGCACTAGGAGACACAACAGGCCTCAGCCATGCCAGCAAGTGCTTAGGAGCTCTTTAATCACTGGATTATTAAACATATGCTCATCCTCTTGACATCCTTGCATGCCTGCTGGTTATTTACTGGCAGCTCAAGCAGAGAATTCAAGATGACTCCTCTTGGGACCCTTTTGGGATCTGATGCCGGAGCAGGAAGGAGAGGGTTTTTTTCCAGGAGGAGGATGATCAGCTGAGCTGTTAGGCTGCTTGGTGGTGGGTCTGCAGGCAGAGCCCCCATCCCAGTCTCTGTCCCGTGCTGGCGGCAGCACGGGTGCCAAGGCTGCGTCCTAGCCCCCAGCATCCAGGTTGTGCTGGCCGATGTAAATTCAGTGAGAGGGAACTTTTGTTTTGTTTATTCAGGTGCCAGTTTCAGTCTTAGGAGAGGTTTTTTTTCCAAAGTTATCAGGTTGATGCTGTGGCAGGGAGCAGGCTTAGCTCTGTGTGGTGGAGATCACACTGTGATCTGGCTTCAGAGCTACCCCATGCTGATGCCTTGCTGGTGCACAGAGGTGGCAAAAAGCAGCATTTGTTAGGTGCCCCATTAAAAGGGTTTTATTGGTACTTGCTAGTGAAAAGGGGCCTGGCTTTCATGGGACAGGAGGGCTGCTGCAGTCCAAGCAGCTCCTAACCCTGAAAGCAGCTACGGCTCGGTGATCCCATCCCTGGGCGGGTGGCAGTGTGAAGGAGAGAGGAGTTGTGCGTTGTGGAGAAGCCCATGGAGGAGCTGGAGCAGTGTGGGCTGCTGGTATGGAGCCAGGTGAAAGACGGGGTGGCCTGGACATGTTGGAGAGGGTGTAGTGTGGTACAGGAGAGTTCCACCCAGTCTTCTTGGGAGCAGAAGATAACAGTGTTCCTGCTCCTCGGGTGACTGGAGTTGGCTCAAAGGGGGCCTGGGGACAACAGCCAGGGCTGGAGCTGGACCAGGAAGCTGCACAGAAAGCTGTGATGCTGCTTGGGCAGGGTGACCCCACCCTTCCCAAGGGAGATGGTTTCCAAGGCAGGTTTCATCATAGACTGAGCCTCGACTTAAGTGATGATACAAAGCAGATGGACACTGTTCTCTTGGAACATGAGGGGGGAAGGCAGCAGCGGAGACCATGGCACCCTTTGTATCTCTTGGAGAAATTTGACAGTGAAGTTCCAAGTGGACGACATCTTCAGAACTTGCTGTTGAAAGCCCTCACTCCATCTTCCTCCCCAGGACCTTCTCGGGAGCCGTTCCCTGGGGAGTTTAGTACTGCCAGAGGCAGTTGTTTTATGCCAGGCACCTATCTCTGCTCCTCCCGTGTGTGCCTCCACACTGTGTTAGCAGCTGCTGGAGTTTCTCTTTCAAGATGGAACCCAGCCCCTTTGTTCCTTGTTCCTGTGTTAGTGCCTGTGTTATGATTTGAGTCCTTTTGACCTTTCCTTTCTCTGACCTGTAACATCTGCAGCTTCAGATGTGAGGCTGCAGAGAGGCAGGTTTTGTCTCGACCCAGACATCTCCACTGGTGCTTGAAATGTTGCCAGCACGTGTCCTAAATCTGCCCAATGTCTTTGCCTGTTGCTTTGCCATTCTCTCTTTGAATTACTACTTCCTCATCTACGGTTTTTAGCTGAGAAGCAATCTGACTCCTGGAGCTCCTCCTGCATCAAAATACAGCAGGTCTTCCAAACTTGACGAGCTGTGTTGGGGCAGTCTGGGGGCTTGCTGAGAGCAAGGAGCTGTGTGAGAGCTTGCAGAGTGCAACAGCACCTCAATAACACCACCACCTCCCGGATGAAGATCTCTGCCAGCATGAACTCAGGCTCTTCCTGGCATCTTCCCAAGAGGGATTTGCTCACAGATAAGACTGAACAAGGAGGGGGGGAAAACCACCCTTTTGGGGTGTGCTGGGTGGGGAGGCTCAGTTGGTCCTGATCCATGCAAAGCCCTGGGTTGAGCAGTGGCTTTAGGCAGCTGAGCTTTCCTTGAGACCAGCCTGGCATGGAGATCAAATCCTGTTTAAACAGGGTTTGGGTCTGCGTCTGTCTTACTGGGAAGCGCTGCCTCCCGGGCATGCGGGGAGGAACTTGCAGGAAGAGCTGGCGTCTGTCCAGGGCTCTGCTCCCAAAGCCCCGGGCGAGGACGCATGTGGGTTCTCGTTCCCTGACTCTTAGTGTGTACAAAGTTGGATCTCGCCTTTCTGGATGGAGCAAACCAGGACGGGTGTCAGGAAGAGCCTTTCCCCCTCACTGGGGAGATGCAAGGAAGGGCTGTAGTCTCAGAATGAAGATCAAGAGGCTCTCGAGCTGTTTTCTGAACTGCTGCTTTTCTTCAAGCTCGCTCTCCAGCTCAACTCCTTCTTGCAGATCCATCCTGCGATTTATTGCTCCTCTTGTTTCTCATTTCTGCTACCAGCCTCTGATTTCTGGCCTGCCCTTCCTCAAGAAGGGGCCTTTGGCAGGCAGGAAGGCTGTTGTCATGCCAATGAACGTCCATCAGGCTGTTTTCCAGCCTCCCATTGGATTCAACTGAAGCTGACTCTCAACAGAGCTCCCCAAATGCAAGTGGCCTGTGCATTGACCTGGGATGAACCACTAAACCACAGCCAGCCCCATTCGTTCCTTCAGCTTTGGCAGGGAACAGAAACAAGCTGTTTTCTGTCCCGTTTCCAAACGGCTCCGCTCGCTCTCCGCGGGGAAGGCTGGACAAGGTCCAGCTTGTTCCTCAGAGCTGAGCTTGCAAGGTTTGCCCTTTGTCCACCCCACTGGCAGGGGCAACAGGGCAGGGAGGGCGGGGGCGAGGAGGTACCAGGAGGGGATGGGGCAGCAGTGCTGCCCTGAGTGAAGAGGGATGGACAAGGGTGTTAGACAGGAATGAGCTAAGGAAGGCCTCCTTGGTTTGAGCTGGTGTAATAAAATTTTCTGGATTTAAGCCCTCTTGCATCGTGCTAATTTCCAGAGCTTCTGAACGGGGATGGAGGCAGGCTTCACCCCACCGGGGCTGTAATGCTGCTTCGTGGCTTAGCTGGAGATTTAAGGCTGCAACATGCTTGCGTGAGTAGGGTCTTAGGAGGCTGCAGCTTTCGGCAGGAGGCGAGGGGGGCGAGGCAGTCGCTGGTTGACACAAGGCAGAGGCAGGCCCTGCTTTGCCAAGAGGCTTCTCCATTAGCACTTTACAAATCTTGAGGGGAAACTGAGGGGAAAAATAATGCACATGAAGGATTCTGCCTTCCCTTTTTTTGTTCATCCAAGTGGTCAGATGCAAGTCCCTGGTGGGCTGGAACTCACCCCCCGGCAGCTTAGCTGTGGCTGATGGTTCTCAAATG